CGGTCCGTGAGTCCGGGGCTGTGATACAGATCGGTCCGTGAGTCCGGTGCTGTGATACAGATTGGTCCATGAGTCCGGGGCTGTGATACAGAATGATCTGTGAGTCTAGTGCTGCCATGCAGAGCAATCTTGTGAATCTCTTCCCGGTTTCGAGTTCTGAAAAGTTCACCTAACAAAGGAATTGACACCAGCAAAATTGGCCAGTGCTACACACCAATGTTGTTTTTTTGGGTTGGGTTTTGGAGTTAGTTTACCAGCAGGGCTGCAGAATGTGCCAGTCACCCCCCTTCCCTTCCTTCACTCCTTCAGGGAATTTGGCCTCAGGGCAGTCTTGTACCTAAGCAGTTCTGGATAGGTTACTGCGTGATCTCAGACAGTTGCTTTCAGAAGCTCTATTGCTCAGCTGTGCAGTGAAGAAGTGTCTGTCCCTAACGTGCTGCCTGCTGTTGTTTGTCAAATGCCTAGCACGGGCCTGCGGTGGAGTCGAGCGGAGTCATGGCTGGCTAGTATTCCAATAAGCAGGCTAATTAGTTCTGGTCACTGATGTGGATTCTGACAAGCAATGATGCTTCTGGGGACAGAAGTGGGGATGTGTCCTGGGAGCTGGTGATGATGTGGTACATTGTCAGTACAGAGAGTCTGAGGACACAGTCCAAGCAACCAAGTGTCCATTTCAAGTTTAACATCCCCTTGCAGTGGTGGTCGTGAGCAAGGCCTGATACTCAAGCTATTCCTGTCATGGCAGATTGCCGCCCCTCCGACCTTCGACAGCCCACGGCTGAGATGTAAAAGTGAACTGGTCCAGACGCTAAGTGATATGCATTAGGGGGAGGACTAGATTTTGAATATATATCTATTCTGGTGCTGGAGATTGAACCCAGCAACTTTAGAATTGTCATGTTTCCCTGAGATATCCACATGCAGTATTCTCCTTTCTTGCAACACTTGGCAGTAGCTTCCAGCCACAGCTTCCAGTTGGCCCTTGAAAACCATCACTGAGTGAGCGGGAAGGGGATGTGCCAGGGCATGTATGTGGAGGGCAGAGGATGATTTGCAGGAGCTGGTTCTCTCCCTCCAACCTATGGGTACCAGGTCATCAGGCTTGGCGTCTCACCAGCCTCCAACTGGTCATTTGATCACAAGGAGAAGCTATAATGTGTTTGTAGCTTGGGTGTGTTAAATGTTTAAATGTACTACAATCTTTTCTTTTTTTTTTTTTAATGAGAAAAATTCTGGTTAAAAGTGACATCCGTATTTTTAACTTGATGACTTTTTAACTTACTGTGGGTTTTTTGAACATAGCCCTTTTCAGGTCAGGGCTGTTTAGGAAAAAGAGGGTGCCCACATGGCTCTCTACTTGGCTCTAAGCAGAGTCCTGCTTCTGCCTTCCTAGACTTCTGCTGGGCTCTTTGCAGATGTGCCTTTGGCTCACCTTTGGGGGGCTGTCCAGATCTCAGAGCAGCTCCAACTGAGCTCTGTTCCTCTTAGGGAGCAGCAGTTATGCTAGGAGCCCCCTGCTCCATTAGAGCCCCAAACTGCGCTCTTAGGAGACAGCCAGCACATCCACAAGGAATCAGAAACTCAGTACAACATAGCAGGAAGCAACGTGGCAAGCACCAGCCTTCTCTGCTGCAGGGTGTGTGGTCTGGGACAGGGTGTCTGGAGGCCTTACACATGGGTGTCCTGTTACCTTCAGGGGGGTTTGCTGCCATTGAATGACTGAGCTTTCACTAATCAAAAAGCCATGACTAATATTCATTCCATGGTGTTCTTTAAAAAAATTGTAATAACCAGGGTTGGAGAAATGGCTCAGCAATTAAGAGCACTGGTTGTTCTTCCAGAGGTCCTGGGTTCAATTCCCAGCACCTATATGGAAACTCACAACAGTCTGTAACTCCAGTACCAAGGAATCTTCTGGACTCTGCACACATGTAGTTCACATACATACATACATACATACACACATGCAGGCAAAACACTCCTACACATTAAATAAATAAAATAAACACTTTGTAATATTTTTAAATGCTAACTTAAGGAGAGAGAGACAGAGACAGAGACAAGAGGGGGGGTGGGGTTTAAAAGTTTCAAAAGCTGGATATGATGACACAGGCCTTCCATCTTAGTACTTGGGTGGTTGAGGCACAGTTCAAGGCTAGCCTGAGCTACATAGTAACTATCTCAAAATAAAGAAACCAAACTAACACAAAGGTTCATGTTGAAGTTTGGTTGTGCCAGCTTTTCCCGCCTCTGCCTTGAATGCTCTCTGTTCCTGGTAGGCATTCTGAACACGTTCTGACTGCAAAAGCTCTCTGGCATGGCTCCCATGTTTTATACATCAAATGTTAGCTGCCGCCCTGGACCTTTGATATCAAGCAAAATGTCAGTGTTGTTGAGGTTGAGCACCTACTCAGACATGGCACAGAAAAATGCCTGCCACTGGAGACTCAGCTCACTGAGAAGATAACACCCCAAGTCTCAGAGTCAGTGGTCTCTCTATTTAGAAGAAGACAAACTTTTCCTCAGATTTAAGTGTAAAATCTCACAATGAGACTGCAGTGAGCTGGTCAGGGGTCTTTCAAACCTGTGCTATGACCTCGGGCTCCTTTGCCCTGATTCACCGGTTATTCCTGGGGAAGGTGGGAATCTTGTGAACATCAACAGCCTATTGCTCTGATTGCGTGTCAATCATGCTCATAGGCGTGGTCAACCTTTATGGCTGCAGCATGACATTATCATCTGCAAAGTAAGCCCTGATTTTGTGTCAGCTGCATTCATAACTAACTGTGTATGGCCTGTAGGTATTAGCCTGGACAACTGCCTGGAGTGCCCTCCCCTTTAAAATATATAATTCTTTGCCCTTATCCAGAGGGACATGTTTCAAGAGGGCCCGTGGACGCCAGAAGCCACAGGTCTTATCAAACCCTATGTCTACTATGATTTTTATATAGATAACACTAATGATGAAGTTTAATAATAACTAATAATAGAATAGAATAGAATAGAAGTTTAATAACAACTAATAATAGAAGTTATAATCATGGCTATAATAAACTTGCCACCATTAACATTTTTGTACTTTGGGGTTGTTAGGAACTAAAATCAGGGTTATTTGAATATAAATATTTCAATATTTCAACAATAGATCTAAGAACTAAGACAATAAACCAAGCGACTAATGGGGAAGTAGCAAATACAGGGTGGAAATGTTGGACAAAAGAAGGACTCGTATCTTGAGATATGAGCCCAGCTGCAGAAGAGTACAGCATACCACTGGGAATAGGGATGTTTAGAATTTAGGAAATGTTTACTTCTAGAATTTTCTGTTTATTATTTCCAAGCTGTCATTGGCTGTGGATTACCTAAAATCACAGAAATCCACTTGCAGGAGGAGTAGAGGGTTGACTATATTAAAAACTGTCCCCAGGGCTCACCACTAAGCTGGCTGGCATCTTGAGATCTGAAGTCTCTTCCTGCCTATGACCCAAGGTTTGGTCTTTCTGCTTCTTTGGAGGCTTTTTGTGAAGAATCACTGGAACTTCCAAGTCATGGGAAGGTGGGCTTTGTTGCTGCAGATGGTTTCCGTTAATGGTTTAATTTTTTTGGAGATTAAGCAGTGTTGGTTCTGTGGAAGGCCAGTCAGCTGTCTTAGCTCTGGTGTGGATTGCCTAACGCTTTTCTGGAAGCCTTATGGCGAGAGCTTTCAGATCATTTGGATTCCAACCCACAGTAAAAAAAACCAAAATAACAACAACAAAAAAAACCATTGTGCTTATTGGCCCAACATGACACACACTCATATGAGCACAACTGAAAGATGATCGTTTGAAATTATAGCCATGCTTATCCTTGCAGAATGCCCTTTGATGTTTTGATGATTTCTAATCATTCTTTTTTCCTTTCTGTTTCCTCCTCATCTTTTTCTTTTCTGCTTCTTCTCTTCATCTTCTCCTCGTCCTTCTGCTTCTTGTTGTTGTTCTTGTTCTTCTTCTTCATCTCCATCTCCTCCATCTCTTTCTGTTTCTCCTCTTTCCTCTTCTGCCTTTTCCTTTCCTCCTTCTGCTGCTTCCCCTCCTCCTCTTCTGTTTTCCTCCTCCACCTCCTCCTCTACCTCCTCCTCCTCCTCCTCCTCCTCCTCCTCCTCTTTCTCCTCTTCTTTCTTCCCCGAGAGGGAAGAGACAGTACTCTATGTAGCTCCAACACTCAACCTTTGTGCCTGGTCTGGGATCATAGCTGTATGCTGCCACTCTAGGCCAGTCTGTAGTTTTTAAATTTCCTGGTGACAACTCTCTAACTTGATTTCAAGACTCATCAGTGGGTCTCAGATCACATTTGGGAGAACCCAGTCTTGATCGGGAATCAGGCAGAGTGGGAGATAAATGTGAGCTGAGGAGGGCCATGAAAAGCAAGAGCTCTCTTGGGGAAGCTGGTCACCTCCAGACAGATGGTGGAGGCCAGCCCAGGCATCTCATCATTAACCCCTGCAGCCTATGCTTTAGCAGGCTCCTAAGAGGCAGCTCACCAAAACGCCACTTTGAGTGACATTCATTACTATATCTAAAGTGCTTGGAACAGGAACGAGTGGAGGGGAAACCCTCAGTATCAACTATCATTACTTTTAAAGTATCTTGAGGTGTAATTTATATAGCACAAAATCACCCATTTTAAACGAACAGTTCAACAACCTCTAGTAAGTTTCCTGAAGTTTCCTCTAGTATGTTCTCCTGTCCATATCCAGTCATAGAAGGTTCCTGTCTTGTACCCAAGTTTCCTGACTCTATTCCTTGATCATACCCACAGATTATTGTGAAAGAAATTACTACTTAAAAAAAAATCAGGGCTGACAGATGGCTCAGCGGTTAAGAGCACTGATTGTTTTTCCAGAGGTCCTGAGTTCAATTCCCAGCAATCACATGGTGGCTCGCAACCATCTGTAATGGGACCCGATGCCCTCTTCTGGTGTGTCTGAAGACAGCTGCAGTGTACTCATATAAATAACATAAATAAATCTTTAAATAGAAAAAGAATAAAGAAAAATCATTGTTGGGTGGTGATGCCACAAGCATTTAGTTCCAGCATGTGGTGGGCAAAGGCAGGTAGATATCTGAGTTCAAGGCCAGCCTGATCTACAGAGCAAGTTCCAGGACAGCCAGGGCTACACATGTCTCAAAAAAGAAGCCATGTCTAAAGGGAGTGGGAGAAGGAAAAAAGGAAGGAAGGAAGGAAGGAAGGAAGGAAGGAAGGAAGGAAGGAAGGAAAACTCATTATTATAAACTTTTATTTGAATCATCAAGATGGTTCTGTGGGTAAACGCACTTGCTGTCAGGCTTGGTGATGTGGGTCAATCCCTGGAACTCACATCGTGGAAGGAGAAAACCCACAGTCAGCTGTGCATACATGCGTTGAGATACTCATTTCCACACACATACACATACAATCATGTTTAAGTTTCTTGTTAAATGGATGGTTCTACCATATTCTTTTTTTTTTTTAAAGCAAAGACTTTTTACCTTTGAGTTTAGGGAAATGTCAACTCTGTATGCTATATAAAGAGAGATTTTTATTATGGTAGCACAGAGATCTTTCTGCTTCAGCCTCCTGAATGCTTGAATTACAAAATAGACTCTCTCTCTCTCTCTCTCTCTCTCTCTCTCTCTCTCTCTCTCTCTC